TTATTATCTCTTAAGTAAATTTAAAATAAACTAATTTGTTTATTTAAAGAAATTCAATTGAACTGCCATATAGTTTTATAAACAGACCAAATAATTTTCTTACCTAAAAACTATTTTAATTCAATGAACACCCTTACCTAACATGCTTAAACTATGATTTTTAATAAATCATTATGATGAAAATGATTAAAAATAACCTGAACTAGTCAAGTTTGTCATTAATTGTGCATTAACTAAAAAGTTGGATTTATAAGATGACATAAAAGCCGAAAGCAATTTGTTTTTTGTGTTCATTTATTTTATTTTACTGTCAGCGTTCTATGAATTCATATTTTAATGAGTTCAATGGAAATGACCTATCATATATAGAAGTAATAAGCTTGATTATATCTTGTTGAATTTTAACTCTATATAGCTTGCTGATATGATCCTTCCATCTTGAACAAAGCACGTAAGGCTGCAATTTTTCAAAGATATAATAATGACACAAACTATAATCAATTAAGGATAAGGACTTCTTAAAATTATTGTAATTCGTTGTTTAATCTGTGAAATGATGGAAGAAAAAAAAACTTAATATTTGAAATTGAAAATTTTTCAAGAAAATATGAAAGGTGTATTATATTATTTTTAAAATTTTAATAAATTTTATAAATTAAAAAGTAGTAACAATTTTTATTACTAATAATAAATATTTAATTATATTTAATAAAAGTATATTAAATAAATAAAATTTAAAATTATAAAAAATTCAAAATTAATTTAAGATTGATTAAAATTACAATAATCTTCAAAATTGATTAAAAAAAGAAATATATCTTTAATTTGATACAATATTTCGAGATTTAATATTTAAGTCAAATTAAATTTGATATTATAATTAAAGAATGATATCTATAAGCAATAGAAAATCTTAATATATAAGAAGTCACGTTATGTAATAAAAAAAGGTAGTTGGTTAAAACACTTTTACTTAAAATAACAGTTAAACATTGTTTCTTTTAAAAACGATGAGTTAAATCTAATAAAAAAAAGACAAATATTAACCAATTCAATTCATTTTTCCCTTGCTTTAGCATGCTGAAATAAATTTGATTCTTAGAGTCTAAATTGACTAATAATTGTCAAATTCAATAACTAGATTAATTAATTTTATAACATTAGAAATTAAAAAATTATGAATAATAAAAATGGGTATAAGAATTTAAAATTTTAACAAATATAAAAATATAAATTAAAATTATTACTCACACAAATATAAAATTAAATACTACAATGAACCTACAAAAATTCTACTCATTATCATCCTTAGAATTAACAAATGATATCAATTATGGACTTATACTCATTCATGTTTGACCTTGAATGATCGTAGAAGACCATAAACAATCTATTAAGGTTTAAATATATTTTATTATTATTTTTGTCAATATATTTCATTATAAAATGGTCATTTTTCCCTCTTGGGCTGCTGGATCACATTTTCCGTGGGCCTGCATATACAAGATATTAATATTCAGCTCAGAACACACGCAAATCCCCTGATAAATTTGAAATTGTCATGACAAAAAAATAAATAAAATTGTCAGATGCAAATGCCACATATTATAAAATTTAATTTTTCTAATCATAAATATTGGAATTACGATATTGTCTTTAAAAATAGTCACTTCAATTAATTTTGTTTTTCTCAAAATAATAGTCATTTTATAATTTCAAGATATTTTTTTCTTTCAATTATATATTTAAGATAATTATTATCTTAAAAGTCATTTTGTGATAATTCTCTCTCAATTCATTTCATAAACAAATTTTAAATTATACATAATAGATATAATATTTTTTTAAAAATCAAAATAATTAAATGCATTTATGAATTCTTATATCACAACTTTAAACAACTACTTTTCAGATAAGGAGAAAAAAAAAGGATATTTTTCTCAAAATGTGCAAGAGTTTCTTACCTTGAAATATATATAACAAAATTTTAAAAATTTATGGGGATTGAGAAATAATAAAATTGTTGAGAAAACAGGCAATACATATAGTACAAGATATCATCATAGTTCTAGTACATTTGACCAGTACAATAATTCCATGATGCTAAATATGCAATAGCTGATAATGGCAGATAAGAGAGGAACTGTTAACACCTAGTCAATTGGAATGAAATGGTAGTGCAAACGAATGGCATGATGTACTAAGTTGAACATTCTCTAAGTTATACAAATGATATTCATATTATATATAACAGAAACAAATGCAACAAGAAATTTGTAAAACATTAAACGTTGACCTCCTATAGTTTTGGAAACTACCCATATATGAAAAACATCATTGAGTGCAGCGTTGATGAAGCTCTCACTAATTAACTTGTGTCTCTTAGCCAGATGCTTAATAATGGTGGTTCTGTCATCGACCCTGCACTCAATCATGTTTTTTTTTTTGGCAATATGGGATCGTGCAAAATGGAAGGCATGCGTAGAAGAAGTTGGGTTATGTTTCTCTATTTTTTCTATCTCTTTTTTTCTTTGCTTATTAATTAACTTTTAGTAATATTGCAGTGCATATGAAATTCGGAAGCCATGTTTTAATAGTTATTTGGAAGTAGTGGTAATAGTGCAGTGTAGGTAGGTATTGTTTTTCTTTTGTCTATAAATACTGATGTTCTCATCATGGAAATGGTTGAGTACTGAACACCTGAAATCCCAAGTTGCAAATAGCAAATCAAGTCTTTTTTTCATGCCATCCACCTTAGCACTACATCATTTCATCACTTTTATCTTATCATTTTATTTTAATGCAAAATTGATTTTCAGTTTAGGCATGTTTAATTTCTTACCTTTATTTTCCTGCAATTTAATTTCTAATTTACGATTTTATTATTATTTTCTTCTTTCCTTCTTCTCTTTGCTTTCACGTTTGATGATTCGTCTTCTTGCAACTTCTTTCTCTTCTCTGCAGTTCATCTTCATGCTCTTAACTTCATAACACTTTGATCATTGATTTTATGGCATCTTTTTCGGTTAATAATGCTTTTAATTCCTTTCATTTCAGTTACTGCCTTTTCTTTACACTTGTCTTTACTACACTTTTCTCATTTTGTACATTTAATTTGTTTTTTAGTCACATTTATTGTCTTTGTTTTATTTTTATTGCATATTTAAGAGAACCCTTTTCAGCACAAGTTTACGTTGTTAACTTTTCTATATATGTAAAACCCCCCCTTTTTTTTAGTATTGGCTACAAGTTTTCGGTTAATTAATTGCATCATTTGAATTTTTTATCGAAATATTTTGTTTAAATGATTATTATCATCACCACTGTCAATATTACACCGTCCATTTTTGTTAATTTTTATCAATGATATATCAATTAAGTATTTTAGTGAACAAGAGGATAAGTAGTACATGACTCAACTATCTCATATCCTTAAAAACCCACAACTTTTCATAAAGACAATTAACAATTATTTTAAAAATTTCACATATCAAATTAAGGATATATTTTTATAAGAGCAAAAGTAAAAACACAATTTTTTAAAATGTCTTATAATAAATTTAATAATAAAAAACTATTATTTATAGATTGGCATAAACCTACGTATATATGATTTGATGAGATGATAAAGGCAAACGTTCCATAATTCTTGTACTTTCAATAAAGCAAAAACAAAAGGTGTAACTTTCACATAGCTAATATCATAGTTTAGACTTTGGAGATAAATAATAATAAAAAAAGCTCAGAAAAAAGAACTCAGCTGCTTGAAAATGCTTTCTGATATGGTAGCTGTACTGGAAGGTTTAATTTTTATTTTTTATTTTTTAAGTTATCGTCCTTAAATTTAATGCAGTGTCAATTGCAGCAGCATTTTTGCAATTTTCCATGTAGGGGCAATAGGACTCATTGCCTTCCCAAAACATGTTTAACATAAACTTCACAGTTCACAGCTTTTAAATAAACAATTGAAGCAATTACACTTATTGTTTTTCAAACATTAAAATTTCGATATTTACTATTTTACATGTAAGTCATACGGTTAGATTTACATGGAATCAAAAGTCTAACCACAATTGACAACACCTCAAATTGATGAGTGTACATATTTCATTATGACAGATTTTCTTTACATCAGATACGCGCAGCAGCGTGATAGTACTCTCTCTGCATTCAACTGTGAGCCCAATACTTCAATACAACTTAGACACAATAAAAGTGGGCTTTGTATCTTTATGAAACAACAGTTACTGATTTTGCAGCCCAAAAAAATACACTTAATCCTCTAATTACGCCTCTATACCACAACAAAATTAGCTAATCTCCACCCTAAGGAAAAAGAAAAATACAAAGTCTTATTGCATTTCTGATTTCTAAATTCCTCTTGCTACTCAGAAAAAGAAAAGGTTGGACGGCAATTTGCTTCTGAATATTTTTCCTTTCCCACTTTTAAGCAAATAATTTTCTATACGAAAAAATAAAAAATAAAAACAGAGCAACTTAAAACAATAAAGCATAGCCCTGCATTGATCCTCTATAGTTAGAACTCAATATCTTGGTAGACTGAACAGAATTTAACTATCATCAAATACACTAATTGATTAGAGACATAAACAACATAAGCAAACACCTTTGTTTATTTATATAAAAGGCTGCTACAAGCCACATTGGTCACTGCATTGGCCATTCATAGATTTATAGACATAACTTACATCAAATTGCTTGATCAGAACGTAAACCCTGCCCATCAGAACATTACTATTAATACACATGCGATTGATTTCAGCCCAAGAAACTCAAAAGTTGAATCTCTGCCCCAAAAAATTCCCACTACAAATCCAGAAGATTCTGTTGTGTAATTTGGAACCAAAAACCTGTTACAAAACAAAGAAAAAAATAAAATAAAAAGGAGAAAATAAAACAAAAAATTCACATTGTGATTTTGACAGAAATACTTTTCATTCTTCTATCAGGTCACTGATTCTAAGATCACAAGTTTGATTAGTTCCGATTTCCATGATACAATCAATGATCCCAAAGTTGAAGATTATGAGACCAAACGGGACTCTGCATTTGCCAATAATTACGGGAATATGCCACGCTATGGCGACGTGCCATTCTCACTGTTTTTTCCTTCACAATAAATAACAAACACTCTTTGGGCCTGAAAAACAGAAAACCCCCTTTTCCCTTCCTCTGCAGAAAACAAGGGTTTTCTTTTCACGCGCTGCGCTTAGGTTTCACTTTACCCAGCAACAAAATTTTCCCGAGAAAATCCCAATTCTCTCGGAAAATCGAAAATCAATGGGAAAAAAATCAACGGCGGCGAAGGAGGGGGAGGAGGAGCCTCTGCCAGACCATCTCCGGTGTGGTCGCACCGACGGTCGGCAATGGCGGTGCCGGCGGCGAGTGATGGACAATCTGAAGCTGTGCGAGATTCACTACCTTCAAGGGCGCCATCGCCAGTTCAAGGAGAAGGTCCCTGAGTCTTTGAAGCTTCAGAGGAAGCGGAAGAAGGAGGAACCTTCGGTTCTCGACAATGTCGAATCTAGGGCACCAAGAGCGTCCAAAATGGTGAAGAAGAAACGCAAGCTTTCGGAGGGTTCAGAGTCATTGGTCGTTGCAACTTCTTCCGCTAGGAAGAAAGCGTTGAAGCAAGGTGATATGCAGTTGGAGCTTATAAGGATGGTTCTCAAGAGAGAAGCTGAGAAGAAGAAGAATAACAGCAACAACAAGAGTAAGAAGAAGAAGAAAAAGAAAAAGAAGAAAAAGGAAGAAGAGGAATTGCGTTACGGTGAAGGAGAGTTGAGGAGGGAATTGCCGAATGGTGTGATGGAAATCGCGCCAGCTTCAACGACTCATGATTACAACAATGTGGGTTCACATTGTGATGTGAAAGTGGGGGTTGATTGTAAAACAGTTACACCGCGTTACTTTAGGTCTAAGAATGTTGATAGAATCCCTGTTGGAAAGTTGCAGGTATGTTTAGCAGAATGCTAGGTGTACTTGCTCTAAATAACTGTACATGTTCTCTCTCTCTTTATTTTTTGTAATTTTGAATTTTTATGAATTTTAATAGTGTTTCTATATTCTTGTTTAGATTGTGCCGTATGGATCAAACTTGAAGAAGGGTAAGGCTAAGAGGAAGAAGTGTCATTGGTGCCAGAGAAGCGATTCTTGGAATCTCATCAGGTGTTCGAGCTGTCAGAGAGAGTTTTTCTGCATGGATTGCATTAAAGAGCGGTTTGTTAATTGTTAAACCCTCCCAATTTTGAACATGAGACTAACTGAACCTTTGTGGCATTATCTATATCTGTTTGAACTTGTTTCAAAGTTTGATGTTGTGTTGAATACTTGAATTTCGTGCTTGGCTGTTATCCTAATGTATGAGGAGCTTTTTCTACATTGTAGGCTATTTATTCTTGTTTGAAAACTTGTTGATCTTTATTCTAAATTCTTTAGAGCCACATGTGTAATTAGTTTTGGGGGGCAATGCAGAAGCTTGAAGTAAAAAAGCATGATCTGATCAGTTAAACACCTATATAGAGATTCCTGTTATAATTCCACAGCTTTTCCTTAAATGAAAGGATGCCCGTTTTGATGTAGTTAAGAGAGATGTGCGGAATGTTTATTGCTGTCGACAAAGGTTAATAAGAATGTTTGAAATTTATAATAAGAAATTAAAAGTTTCAAGCCTATGGAATCATCATCTTTTTTTGGTAGTTTTCAGAAATAATAATGGCAGATGGATCAATAATGGTTGGGGCTAAGATATTTGCCAAGATAATTTCTGTTGTCTGTTCCTTTTAAATTGAGAATCATATCGTAATGAAACATTTGCCAATATTTTTTGAAACAAATTTAGATATTTTGACACTCAAAACGAAGTTAAGAAGGCATGTCCAGTTTGTCGTGGAACTTGCACATGTAAGGACTGCATGGCAAACCAATGTAAAGACGGGGCAAGTAAGGTCTGACATCAAACATGGATGCTACTTTACATGTAACAGTGTTTCATTAGTAGCACATGCTAACACTGCAGTTCATACCCCATTGTTTCAGGAATATTTGACTGGTAAAAGCAGAGTTGATAGAATATTGCATTTTCATTATTTGATCTGCATGCTCCTTCCAGTAATAAAGCAAATAAGTGAAGATCAGGCTACTGAACTAGAAATAGAAGCAAAAATTAAAGGTAGTAATTTTGTTCTTCTAACATCAATGTTTTCTGAAGCAGCTTTTTTTTATTATGACACATTTGTCTTAGATGCCATTCTGTGTGACAGGGAAAAATATTTCTGATATTCAAATCAAGCAGGTTGAATTTGGCTGCAATGAGAAAAATTACTGGTAAGTTCACTTCTACAGGTGCTACTAAGAAAAGGCACATGACTTTCTGGTGCTACTTGTTAACTAATGTAACATTTGTCTCAGTGATCACTGCAAAACGCCCATTTTGGATCTCCATAGAAGCTGTCCTAGCTGTTCATATAACCTATGCTTAAGTTGCTGTCATGAATTAAGTCATGGAAAAATGTCTGGTGAAATTGACTCATCTATGTTCAAGCAACCTGATAAATTGAAAGCTTGTGTTGCCGGTGAAAGCCATACTTTGGATGAGAAGGCGAAATTTGGTGGCAATTTTACTGCTTCTTCAATATTGCCTGAGAGGATAAATTGTAATGGCATTGATAGTGTATCATGCCCTCCTACAGAGGTTGGTGGTTGTGGTAATAGCCACCTCGATTTGAGATCTGTTTTCCTCTCTAGTTGGATCAAAGAGATGGAAGTAAAGGCAGAAGAAATTGTTTGCAGCTATGACTTTCCTGAAACTTCAGATAAAAGTTCGAGCTGCTCGTTGTGTTTTGACACCGATCACAATACTAACAGATACAAGCAGTTGCAAGACGCAGCTCGAAGAGAAGACTCCAATGACAATTACTTGTTTTGTCCCACAGTTTTGGACATCAGTGGTGATAACTTTGAGCACTTTCAGAAACACTGGGGCAAAGGTCATCCAATAGTAGTCCAAGATGCGCTCCAAAATACATCAAACCTCAGTTGGGATCCACTAATCATGTTCTGTACTTATCTGGAGCAGAGCATTACTAGATATGAGAATAATAAAGACTTACTTGAGTCTTGTTTGGATTGGTGTGAGGTCAGTATAACAACTAATTGTATATTGTATGCATCACGATTCTTTCAAATTGATTTATTAAAATTAACTCTGATATTTGACCAAAAAAGTAATTGTATTTATTAAACGCCTATTTATTCAATTCAATGCATTTATCAATTTGAGATTAAAATTTAGTGTATACAGTGTTTGTTATTGGCTATGAGTATATGCAGAGACACATATACCAACTGTGTGTTTGAACCTGCAAACATTGTGCTTAATAATTATAGTTAAAAGTGTATTATTATTGGCAGGTGGAAATTAACATTAGGCAGTATTTTACTGGATCTGTTAAACGTCGTCCTCAGAGAAACACTTGGCATGAGATGCTTAAACTAAAGGGGTGGCTGTCTTCCCAAATATTTAAAGAGCAGTTTCCAGCTCATTTTGCTGAGGTAATTGATGCTCTACCAGTTCAAGAATACATGAATCCCTTGTCTGGTCTTCTGAATTTGGCTGCAAATTTGCCACATGGGAGTGCAAAACATGAAATCGGGCCGTATGTCTATATTTCTTATGGCTCTGCTGACAAAGAAGCTGATTCTGTGACAAAACTCTGCTATGACTCATATGATGTGGTACATGTCCTCCCTTATTATGTTGCACTTCATGTTTTCTTAAATATATCAGGAGAAATACTGCCCTACACTTTCAGTCACATTATTTTCTGAATTCAAACTCTTATGATGTTAAATCTATTTTAAATATTATAAATTAAGCTATATATATATATATTTCCTATGGTGAAAAATGTTACTGTGCATATATCCCACATAATAACTTAGAGGGGTCTCATCTTTTGAAGCATCCTCATGGAGTGTCTAGTTGTTGTGAAGATGGTTTCTCCCTCATAAACTATATATTGTATGCAACGAAAACCTGTCCCTTACATATATATATAAACATGCCTGTTTTGGGTCTAGGAATAAAAATATGAAATGTTTTCTCAATAAAAGTCATACTGAATCTTAATGTTCATAGCTACAGTAGTTCAAATCCTAAAATCACTTTTTGGGCTATAATAGCCTTGCTGTTATATCTATACTGAATGCCAGTACTCAACCTATTGAAAAGTAGATGCCAGAACTAAAACTTGGTTTGAGGTTTATATTAAGCATTAGAATTGGTCTACGGGACTTGCACATTCCTCAAAATTGAAAGTCGCACTCGTTTCCTTCTCTCGCTCTCTCAAATAGTATTGCTTGCACTTGGTTTGTAAACAGAATTTTGTTTAGATAACCCTGCTGTTTTCTGTGTCTGATTTGGAAGGTTAATATTATGACACATACAACGGATGTCCCACTCTCTACAGAACAGCTTACGAAAATAAGAAAATTGCTGAAAAAACACAGAACTCTATGTCAAATGGAGACTATTGCTACTGAGGAGCTACAGGAACAGAAATTGAATGGAATGGCATTATTGCATGCTGAAGAAATGGAGCAAAAAGGCCTACAGAGCATGGTTAAAGAAGGAATGGACTTTTTCAGGAGAGTCAATCGAACATCTTCCTTTTCAACTGAAGCTAAAAAAGTTGCTGGTCAGAGTATAGACAGCAAAATTTCCCAGGATGAAGAATGTGATTACTATTCTGATTCCGATTCCAATCCCTCTTTACTTCTCCCTGGGACTGTTCTAACTACTGAACTGTCTAAGAACAATAATCCTAGAAATCCCTTTGAAAGCTCACAGAGAGATAAAAAAAAGTTTACTGAGAATTCAGGTGCACAGTGGGATGTCTTTCGCAGACAAGATGTGCCTAAGCTCATAGAATACCTTAAAAGACACTCTGATGAATTCTCTTATACCCATGACTATAACAAGAAGGTAAACTCAAAATAAGACAATTATTTGGAAGGATTTTGATTGAGTGGTGATTATTCATTTTATCTTGTCTGCAGATGGTTCATCCTATTCTGGATCAGAATGTTTTTCTTGACAGTACTCACAAAATGAGACTGAAGGAGGAATTTAGTAAGTACATATTCTTCTCTTTGTTTTTATCATGCATTACAGTCTTAGATAACTCCATTGACACACCTGTCACTATTACCAGAGATTGAACCATGGACTTTTCGGCAACATGTTGGACAAGCTGTCATCATTCCTGCTGGATGTCCGTACCAGATCAGGAATCCTAAGGTCTAGTGCTTTACCATAAAGATTCTTTCTCTAGTTAATTTATAAAGCAGAAACCTTATTGAATTTTAATTGTTATTGAACTGGATATCCATTCCTTTGGACTTATATTTTGAAAATTCCTACTAATTTCAATTTGTACTTTTTAGCATATGATTCCTCAAGAATGTATAAATGTGTTTAGCTATCAACACTTACATTTTATACATAAATTAGAAGGAAAGCAAGGGATGGTTACACTTAATAATATTAATGGCCTTGTTTTCATTATTATTAATGCTGATGAAGGATATCATTATCTCAATATTAGTCTTTGTAGCCCTTTAATATACTCTTAATTTAATATTATGCACAACATGCATTTGTTTTTTGATATGCAGTGTTGTGTTCATGCGGTATTGGAATTTGTGTCCCCTGAAAACGTTACCGAGTCTATCCAGTTGATTGATGAGGTCCGACTATTGCCTGAAGACCATAAAGCAAAAGTAAACATGCTAGAGGTAGATCTTGTAATGATATTTTTACCAGTTCCTGCTTTCTTCGTTTAGTTGTAGGCAAAGAATTGACAAGCTTTTCTCTTTTTGACATTCATGAAAACAGGTGAAGAAAATGGCGCTTAATAGCATGAATGCAGCAATTAAAGAAATACGTCAGCTTATGAGCAAAACATGATTGCACCAGTTAAAATATACACATGCTTCTGAGGCTCTCACGTCCATATCTTCATAATTGTATAGATTAATGCTCGAATACATTAATATCTAGCAAGGTACTTATTAAATTGATTAATTTCCATCTCTATCCATTTTTTCTGATGTGACATTTTATGCCTTACCTGAATTTGAAATAAAATTTTATGGTCTGTATATTTCTTCAGTTGTTTATTTGAAGTAAAATATGATATATTAAGAATGACTGAACAAATGAAATTTGAATTTTTGGTTTTCATTAGTTTGAACTTCGAAATGCTAGAGAGTAGATTGATCTAGCAAAGTAGTTTAATAGACCGGGCATAGGTAATAATCACTCTGATAGATTGATGAGTATGTTTAAACTAGTATTTTGCCCCGGTAGATTGTTCTGGCGCTAAGCTACAACCGAAATGTGACAGCAACTAGATACAAAACTAGAACAATCCCCAACCTTACATGTGAGAACCAGTGCACCAATCCGCAGACCTTATTTGCCAAAGTGGGTTCCATGACACGGACATCCCATATGTTTGCTCATTAACATTTTGAAGTGCTGTATAATGGTGAAATTGATGTTCATATGCTATAATACCATTCGAAACTGGAGATGGTGTGGTTCTTTCCATCATCCACAAAGCTTGATTGTCATACAAGAATATCAGTAGTAGGGTTTTATGATTTTGAAACCGGTGCCAAATAAAGTCAGAGCAGATGGGTAAATCAGAAAAGAGTGAGAATATAAACAGGGTCAATGTGTTCCAATTTTAGACGTACCACACTGGGTGAGTAGTTGTTGACATTTTTCACCCATTTGTCACAAGATGGGTATCATGTTTCGAAACGGCGAAGTACTTGTGATCTCAAAATTTTTTTACTTCAAATCTGTTAATTTTATTATTGACCAGATAATTGATTGATACTGGATCCTCACTCTGTAAATGAAATTTGACAATGGGAATTTTGATAATTTGGGGATACTGAAATTTCTAATGACACCTGTTTGTATGACATGTTTCTAATGGCCAATCGCTTAGCCAAAAAACAAGTGATCAACCCGACGTACCACGCATATTGAGACGCTTACATGCCTTGTGAGGACAAGAATATTGCAATTTTTTCTTCAAATATAAACATTAGTTTCAAATCATCTTTATTTTTTTAAAATTTTGATTTAAAACTAATCGAATAAGATTTCTTGAAATTTAAGTTAATCTTCATTCTTACAAGAATACAAGATAATCACCTCGCTTCGCAAAGTTGTAACCCCTTTGAAGATCCTCACCGTGTTTTTCCTTTCTATTACCAGCAATAGTAATCATAAGGTAAAATAAACATTTTGACTGTGGTTTACCACAGTGTGTATCAGTTAACCATATGACCGACATTATCAGAGACTTGTATTAACACAAGCTGAGATTATCATTATCAAACTTGTGAGTATAACAGTATAAGCGGCGCAAATGTTGACCGTTTTATTAGCCTTTGCCTGTGAACTGTGGCGCTCCGGCACACAGTAATAACTGCTGGAAATTAACCGAAAAAATAAAGGGGAGCTTCTCAAAAAAGAGGCCGAAAAAAAAAGGGGCAAATCTGAGAGCGCCCTTTGTAGTACATGTCCTGTTTCGGGTTAGGGTCAAAATTGTTAAGAGCCTCAACAATAAGGAAAGCTTCTCTCAAGGGGCCATGAGCCCGTCAATTGTGTAAGAAAGAGACTTTGCCCAATCATCTTTAAGTAGCAATGTCTGCAGCGTATGCATCACGTCGTATCCAGGATCAAGCTTGCGCTGCCAACCCTGCATTCAAATTACATATTTAACAATATTAATAAATACACATATCATGTAACTCACATCAGCTATTAGAAACAGTCAAATAAACGTCATTGCAACATAGACCATTTGGTGTATGGAAAGGAGACATTCTCAATCTCATTCATTCTTTCATCAGTGTTTCCCATGCATGTTGAGTCACAAAATAAACTGTTATCGTGGTAAATCACAAAGAATTACCTCAAGAACCAAGGTGGTCACCATGACAGTACAAACGTTGCCATCAATATTGACTTTATGGCGCCTAACTTTCTCAAGTAATTGCTCTATGCACTCTGCAGGATGGACCAGGTCACCTTCTGGAGTGCCCCAAAATGTAAACGACTCTTCCACTTCCTGTTAGAAAAGAGGAAAGCCCAATTTATAAAATTGCATCGATAGAATCATAACCAAGCCTAACTGCAAAATTGACATAAAATGCAATGTCGTTCCACGTGCAATGTCAATCAACTACAAAAGTCTGCAGATTAGCGCTTATAAATATGCATTAACTTTGACAACAGATAACAAACCACAATGTCTTTTGAGTTGAACAAAACAAATAAACTGAAAAATACACAAATAAACCGATCAGCATACTTACACAAGGAGATTAATTTACACAAAAATGCAAGACTATGTAATCTCACACCATTTAATAACTATATAAAATATAATTTTTATCAATCTAATTATTAAACTATGATTGTTCATTACATTGGTTGTGTGTGTCAAATCTTGGAAAAAGTGGACAATAAACATATAATCAAATGATTTTTACTTTCATATATTTCAAAAGTATATATAACATTAATCTTTCACATTTTTGCCTTTGATTGAATATCACCACAAGCATAGCTGTGTAATTAACCCTCAACATAGAGGTAGTAAACTTTATGACTCACCATTGTTGAATTATAATTGAATGATTAGAAGTAATTAAATGGCATGTAATGCTCACACACACACACATATATATAAACTTCACACCCTCATGTAATGCTCAACAAAAATCAATACAATAGTTCTTACTTCCTACCAAAAAAGTTACAAGCTAAAAAATCACCTCAACAAAAGCCTTTGGATTTGGACAGTTCTGTTGCTTTGATAACTTGAGCGTGCACTCTGCAGCAGTTCGACCATCTCGGCAGGCAACAGCTTTGAAAATTTCCAACAAATTTACCCGATCACTCCCAGAGAGTTCAGCAGTCATGCCTACATCAAGGAATATTACATGAGGCTTTGATTTGAAGAGCCGTCTCTGAGGCTTGCTCCGAACAAGGATATTTCCAGGATGCATGTCTGCATGGATGAAGTTGTCCACCTGAAAGAAGACATCTCCATGTCTTAGAAGCTAAAACTTTGTAATGTTCATGTTTAAAACTATAGAAAGAGATCAGGTTCCTTTGCATTCATAACCAAGATGAGCTTAATTTACTAAGAAAAGCTTGTTTTATAGTGTAATCTCTACATATCCAATAAAGAAACACCTTCCAAATAAATGTTGGCTAAAAACCATTAAGAGGCCAAGATCAGTTTATAGTTTAGACCATAGCTTAAAAAAAAGGATCTGAATCCTGTAAAGTCTATTGTGCAAGGTGAACATTACAAAGTAAAATGCATTGCATATTAAATATTGTACTAGACAAATATAAGGGCATTAGCATTACAAACCAGTCCTTAATTTTTCATCACTCAAAATTTTCAGTTTGATCAAACACATTTGACAAAGAAATAAATAATAAAAATTAATACTTGCTCCCACTAAGTCTAGGGTCTGGCTTTACACTCCTAATATATATACACTCTGTACCTTCATCTCAAGAAATATCAGTAATTAATCATGACTAGCTCTTATTGATACAAAACAAACCAATGCTAAAAATAAGCCTTGGAAACAATTCTAGCATAAACCACAAGATATATAAGCGGCAAAAGGAACTGTAAATGAAAGATTTGTTACCAGGAGCATCTTTAAAAGTGCATTAGTACCAATATGAGCAAGAGCACTTTTAATCCCTTCATGTCCATGAAGCTCATCAACATAATGTGAGACACACTCTCCATTTTCATATGTTTCCACCAAAACTGCAGGATGCACAAGTGGATAGACAGGCTTAGGAAAAGATACATCCCTCCAACGACGGAAATTGTAAATAAAGCGGCTCAAATGAGCAGCTTCTCTTGCAAGGTCAACTTGAGACATCATGAAAACTGCAAACTGCTGAACACTTTCATCCAACCTTAACCAATTAAGGGCATGGATGAACTTTGAAGATTTTGCCACCAAATTGATAATAGCAAAATCCCTTCTGATAGATTCTCCCACACCAGGATGTCTAACCTTCACTGCAACTACTTGGGGCTTTGCTAGCTGACCAGGGTAACGATATTTTAAAGAAGCGCGATGCACTTGGGCAATACTTCCAGATGCAACAGGTACTTCTTCAAAATCTTCAAAAATTTCAGAAATTTTCCGACCAAATGCTCTTTCTATAGATTTCTTTGTGTAGCTAAAACTATGCTGTGGTGCTTTGGTATGAAGTTCAGCAAGCTGGGTGCATAGATCTCGAGGAAACAGATCAGGTCGTGTAGCAGCCCACTGACCCCATTTTATGAATGCTGGACCAGCTTTTTCCAGCGTGAGATGAATGACCCAAAGCCACATTTTCCTGAACTCTGGCCCAAAGTAATCTGCAAATGGTGCCATCAATATGCTTGGAGAGAATAATATGGCCAGATACATAGCTCTTGCTAACAAGACAAGGCCTTCTACTACAATGAATACAAATGCAAACATGTAACTGTATCCATCTTGTGCATGCAGATACAAAGCATTCTGTGATGGGTAACATTCAGTACATGCCCCATTTTTCTGAGCCAATGCTAGCTTTCCATACGCAAATGCAAAAAAACTAGGAATCAGCAGATAAGAACGACCTAAAGCCAGACTTACTGCTTGAGCAATCATAGTTATGGAGGTAAATCCACCATAACCATTGGAAGAAATTTTTTTGTGCAGCAATTTCCAGGCTATTTGAGAATTATATGCTGCTAAATTACTTCCTGAAATAACAGAAAAGTTTCTAAAAGAGTGTCCTTTGCAAAAGTTTTCTCTTGTCTGCCGCCACAAGAATGAATTAAATCCTTCACCGGAAAACTTATATTGCACGTACATCCTGCATTGGTTAGAATTTGTTCCAACTGAGGCAAAGGCCCCATTTCTACTCACTTCCAGATATCTGCTTCTATGGATTCGAAGAATAGAATGGGCAACTCTCCCTATGTTTCCAAGCATCAAATATCTGCAAACCAAATATTCTGTTGATTAGAACACTGATGATAAGTAAACAACAGTTTCTTTTTCATTCTTCTATCAAAAAAAGGTGTGTATGTTGAGATGCATTTAAAATTTATTTTTATACAAGTATGCTATATGTCAAATTCTTCAAAGGCATCAAGTGATTTAAGACTCACTTGATACAGAAAATAAATGGTCTCCACTACTCACTATGTGGAATGGTTTATTAAATTTCAGTCTCCAAATTGTCCAGAAAACTAGGAGGAAATCATTAGTTACTTTGACATCTTCCAATAACAAAAGATAACAAATTCAAAACTCTATCCAGTCTGTTATCAATACATCTACATACAATACTTAAAATGAACCCTTATTCTGTAATGAAGTGCCAAAAATCATCACTAAGTCAAAACCAAATTTATTGTAGCCAAAAAGAAACCAACAAAAAAATTGTGAAATCTCTCATGAATTGACTGTTTTCCCTATCTTCGCATAAAGGCTAACTAAATGTCATTATTTCCTTTTCTAACAAAAAATTTAATTTGCACGCAACAGAAAGAATATTTGATAAATATTTTTACATATGATAAGAGTATTCTATTTAAACCATTACTTGTCCATCTGTGTGCAAAGGCTGAAATGGATGAAAGATGTTGATGACGAGGGAAATAAGAAAGAGGCAAGAGAAGATTGGGTAGAAGGTGAAGGAGGGTCCTAATATGACTACTGAGCTGCACTGTGTGGATGTGAATTCAAGTAATTGTAGCACAACTAGCACAATTGTAAGGTGGTTGTAAAAACCAGATAACATAGAACCCAAGTATTAAGTGAATGTACGAGACTCAATTTATATCCCCAACATGCTCCCTCATGCAAGAATCCGCCTGGGCTTTAAGTGCAGAGAATTCACAAGGTCCAACTACCTTGTGCTGAGATTCACTTTTTATTTACAAGAATAGGAGTCAGCAACTATCAAACTCCAGACCATTTGGTCATAGATTAGAGAACCAGATACAATATCTAGCACCAACTCTCCAAGAAGCTTAAGCCATCAGGTAAAGGCATAAGATTCATTTTACATTTGAATCTGAAACATAAATCATTAATCATGTAATAAAAAGACGTAGAATATAAAATATCACTAGTCAATTTTTGTTTAAAAGGAGCATATTCTAAAGATTTCACATTGAGAGAAATTGAAGTAATTCAATTCATATCAGTCTGGCCACATAGAACAGAAATTTGGTAGCTTGAGTCCCTAATCAGTTTGGTTGAATTTTATATTCAACGGAATCCACTTTATCAAATAAAAACCGAAAAACTTAATAAATTTAGTGCGGGCCAATTATCTGCCTGACAGTCAAATCACTAATCTACTAAACTAGTCTCCTTACTCCATTGCTCACCAATTCAAATTTTACGATGATGACACTTACCCCTTTCTCTAATAAAAATTAACGTGGTAAATCTAAGCCAATTTGAAGACCTAGATATACAAAGAGTAACCCCGTGATAAAAAGAAGACACGAACTTTGAAATCATGAGAAATATTGAGTTTTGGAGCAATCAGTAGATATATTTACATATCACTGAATCAATAGTCCAACATTAGTTACTATGCATTATTAGTAACTTTATTTGATTAGACGCTTCCCTTAGAATGTAATAAAATTGTTAAGTCCGTCTAATGCCTTTCTTTTTGTAACAAGTTAACAACTAGCAAGTCACGGTAAAATCTGCCCTGCCCACAGGCACAACCATGGTTTATGGGCCTGGAAGAGACACACACCTTAACTTAAGTTAGGATATTAAGAAGCTTTATTTTGATTCAGTACATTATTGTAAGCAACAAGTGATCCAGGGGAGTTCAATGGTTGCCCATTTGCAAGTAAAGGGGCTCATGGAACCAGCAGCAAAAGACAATTACAAGTGAAGGGATAAAAACCGCAAGTTGTAGCATCCTTGAAGCAACCAAATGAAAAACTTGAAGTAGAGAAAAGAAAGAGGAGCAAGGTATAAATGGAAGCAATGGATCTTAATCTCTCCAAGAGACATAAATATGACAAGAAACAAACGAGGAGAAAAAATCATTGAGGAAATTTCATTAAACAAACCATTCAACAAAGTCCAAATCCATCCCACATTGCCAATTGCTTGGAAATTGAATCACTTATTTGGTCCATACTCCTTTCTCTGTATACCCCAAAATTAAACAAACAAGCATAGGAAATTTGATGATTCATACTCTTAACAATGAAAAAAAGAGAAAAAAATTCAAACGCGTTTATCTTCCCATCAAAGTTGCCCCCCCCCCCCCCTCAAGTATCCATTATTCCAGAAATGCATTACAAATTTCTCCTTTGACGAAAGAAACACGCGATCGGTTATTAATTATGAAAAAAAAAAAACGTAATGGGCAGCATGAAAATCAAAGGAATTTGAATTTGATGTAAGAACCTGAAGGGTAGGCACAGGAGAACATGCTAGTTTGGTAGCGGAGGTCAAAGCAACGTAGCGGAATTGGAAGGATCTGAAGCTCAGTTACGTGACCGAGAACGCGAATGTGAATATCAATGCAATGAATCATTCAACGTTGGCGCGATTTTGACTGAGGCGGCCATTACAAGAACAAACCCTAAACGACTTTAACGAATTATGACACAGAATTATTTTGTGACCAATTATAATTTGGACATTTTGGTCGGTGAAATTTAGACCACAATTTTTGCTTTAAATATATATGACAATTAATTGATTTTTTCTTCTTCATCGATATGACTATCTGGTGATTAATCGTGGGAATCCTAAAAAATTACTGCATAAAATTTAATAAATTGATTACAACAATGTCTAAAATCAAAATACATATAAAGCTTTGATAATTTATTTAATTGTTTAATTATTTAAGTTGACATAATTATATTTATTTTTTACTATTGGAATTTTTTTTAAAAAAATTATAAATACATTAAACAAAAAATTAAGTATCTCAAAGAGTACAACATGGCATAATTCTAAATAGTAAAATCATATTTTTATATGAGAATTACTAAAATATAAAAGAGTTTACGTACGAATTATTACCAAACAATGCTTCAATATGTTATTGGTTAAATTTTAAATTAGAAAATAACATAACTCTAAAGTGCAGGTGTTATTATTTAGCTGTATATTTTCATCAACAATCAATTCGTACTGTATAATAATTACACATTATATACAATAATTAAAGGGTAATTGTATATTATTTTTTATATTAATATTTTTAGATAAATAGATGTTTTAATCTTTAAAATTACTCCGTTAATTTCTAATTTTATAAACGTGGTTCAATTTTGTAAGTTTTTTTAGTTTTGCAAAACAATTATTAAAAAATATATATATAATACACAATTCTTTCGATAACTTGTCTTGTCTCTTTCCAAACATAGGATATTTTAAGGTATATAAATGACCACAATACACATTTTAAAAATTATATCTATTTTAATATTATTTTAAAAAAATTATAGAACTTTGGTTATGCATTATCTAAAATGCCATATTAAATTTTTATAATGATTTTGGCAATATTTTTAAAATCAGACTGATAATTAAACGGGTAAAAATACTAGTTCACAGTTCATTTATTCAATTGTAATTAAACTAGGATCAAACTGATAATGATTAAATATGTGTTTTTAATATTATATAATATTAAGTAATAAATTAATACAAAATTATATAACATTAAATGATTATAGTACATATTATATTAGATAAAAATAAATAAATAGTTAAAGAGCAATAATTTTATATATAAATATCATGTATGAATCATTATTTTTTTAAAATTAGAATTAATTTTTTTAAAAATAAACAAAAAAGATAAAACAATTATGCATTAACTAGTTCAAACCGATTTTATATACCAATACATACTTAGTTTTAGCTAATTTTTGACCAATTTTCTGCCTTCACCAGTTTTCTAATTTGAACAAACCAATCAGCTGAAGTTGATTTTAATAATTATGATTTTCGTTGGTATCATAAATTGTAAGGCACATACAGTTAAGACAATTATTGTCTAACACATTGTTGATACGATTACGAAAACTCAGAATTAATTTCTTGCATGCAGTTCAAACCATAAGGATATAACTTAGAATATTTTTAATTGTTTTTGGTTTGTAGATTTTATTCGTTTTCTCATATTCATTTCTTTAATATTTCTTCGGCAAAGCTGTAGGGAAATAAGCCCAACCCAACCATGATTGTGGGGTGGACTTATTCAATTAGGTGTTGACCAAAACCAAGTTTCAATTATGTGAAAACTTTTGACAAAAAACTATTTTAAGTTACTAATGATTATTTTGGACAAGTTTGTTTAGCCTTTTATTGGACCATATGCTAATTTAGAAGGACAAAAAAAAAAGTCCAATTCATTTTCCACATCCACAAGTGATGTTCTCTTGTGCAGTTGTAATACGTATTTGTTCTAGAACTTTTACTAATACTAAACTCTTTAGATTTGAGCATACCTATTTGCTCTTCTTTATTCATCTATTATGTATTAGGTATTGTTGTAATGCTCAATTCTAAAATCCTTTAATTTGTAAGTGTCGTTTAACTTTTTTTATACAAAGATTATTTATCTAAAAAAAAATTATGTGATAATTGGCAAAGCCTTAAGCTTGTTAAAATTTGAATCATATATGTGTGTATGAGAGAGAGAGATTTAGAAGGGGAAAAAAATCCAATTCATTTTTTACAGCTCCCAATGATGTTCTTTTGAAGAGGAAAGCTGTGATTGTGTGTGTTGGAAACTAGAGATTCTATGATGAGTAGATGACAATAAACTAAAGAATATAATTTACATTGTAATATATTACACATTAATTAAGAATATGATATATAATGCTGTGTGTATTAGATAATAAAAATTCTATGTTGAGTAGATAAGGATATGATTTAAATTGTCATATGTTTCACATTATGGTATAAGATACATTTTATAATGCTCAATGAACCCCTCTCTTGTGCGAACAATCAAAATTTTAAGTGTAACTTATAAGCTGTGTGAAGCAAAGGATGTGCATGGTTATGATTATGATTATGTATTTATTTTACATCAAATCCAAAAAATAAATAAAAAATTCATGTTGGTGTTCAATAATAAGAAAATGATTCTTTTAATTTGTAAACTGAATAGTGAAAATAATTGCTCCCCCTGTTTAAAAATGATTGCAGGTTTAAAATTTTACACAAAAGTTAAGATAATCATTAAATATTTGCAATTTTAAACATAAATTTATATTATTGTATTAGCATATCATCCATTAATATCTTCATTTTGCTAGAGTCAACTTTAAACACTCACCAAAAAAAGAGTCAACTAAACGTGACACAATGTTCTTCTCTTATCATGTAATTTTATATTGAAGAGGATAAATTAAAAAATTTGAAACATGTACCGTTTTTTTTTAATTTGAAAGTGAGAAATAATTATTAGGAAACAGAACAAGTGATTGGTAACTTAGCCATACAAATTTTTGTGTGTTCACTTAATTCATAAAAGACATACCCTTCTTTATCTTTTTACTTATATTTAAATTATTGTTGGAATGGACCAATGTTTTTTAAAAAACTAAAAATGGGCATAATTTAATAATTATGTAATTAAATATACGTTTTAAATGTCTAGCTGTTTTCGTCACTTGAAGGAACATAATGTTAACCCATGCTCGTTGTTGTAATTAAATTGACCAAGTCATTTTCCAAATAATAATTTAGACTTGTCTGCGTGTAGCTCAATTCTGTTTCAATGCCTTAATATGGTAAGGAAAGGATTGCTGCTACAGTGTAGTTAATAGGTGTACTTAGCCTAACAGTGTAGTTAATGTTTAATTGCACGCTATCTTTAACTGATCAAAACAAGTTTATCAGTCAATCACATCATTAAACTAATTATTGGACTGATCGAACTCTATTATAACGTAGAAATTCTAATCACTGGATTACGACAAGAGTTGTTCCTAAAACCAACTTCAATTTCATATATCCGCCGAAAGTTTAAGTGTATTTTTCTGGGACAATCCTGTTTTGTGGTGGGTTGAAAATTGAACTTTTACTTTGAATTGTGATGACAGAGCACTTTCATTTGTCATATCTTGAAAATGGGCATGGAAGGATGAGTTACACATCTATGCATCTTAGATAGATTCTTAAGTCTTGTTGAGTGGCAATTTAATTATAATTACATCGTCAACCTAAACAGGAATACTTAAAACGTTTAAATAAACTTCTAAAAATATATTTCCCATTAACAATCGTGAATATCAATTATGAAACATATGAAAATACAGTGTATAAATAGTTCATAAATGCTATTCCTTGAGACGAAGCACAAAAGACAAATTTTCATTCACATAATCATATGTGCCATATTCTTTCCTTGTATAAGCTGACTTCTGTACAAATGGTCATATTATCCACAGAGATCACGTTTTAGTGCGTATTAGGTGCTCTCTTTATTTATGATAACCTTGACGATTCAGATTAGGTGTTTGATCTATTTTGAGCTGTTTTCAACGTGGAGGTTGGGTTGATTCTATATATGAGAAGGGGCAAGTGACATTCGTATAACTTATATTACTTTTTATTATGTTTCATTTTTTTTATTAAATTTTTATCAAAATTAATTAATGAGATTATATAAATCATTTTTATAAAATCTTATATTAATCTAACATTATTTGTCTATCTATATATATGAACAAAAAAATTTATATTAATACAAATTTAAAAATTTATTTAAAATTTTCATTTAAGTTATATCTAAAATTAATAAAATAATAAATTATAATCCTTTAAACATGTTGGATCAAGTAGTTGTTATCTGTTTCTCTTTCTCTTTTACTTTTCTGTATATAAACATACAAGTGTAATAAGTCTTTTATATTGACATTCGGATTTCTTCGAAAATTGAGTTAGAACTTAAAAAAAGTATATTGTTGAAATTTTCTGGATAATGTGTAGGGGGACATAGTATTCTATAAATATAAAGCACATTTGTTAAATTTAAATGCAAGTGACACCAAATATCTAAACCGCAATAAGTCTTTTATTTTGGACTTTGGATATCTCAATGCGGATTGAGTCAAAACATAAATGTATATTGTTGAAATTTTCTCGATAATTGTGTTCTATCAATTGAAGACATCATCAAGCACACTTGTTAATTAAATTATATAAAATGCGAGTGAGTCTGTCAACGATTTCAGTAAAATATATTTTTGCCATGAAAATTAATGTTTGCAATGTCAATTGTTTGAAATATAAGATAACATTCAAAATAATTGAAAAGCAAAGAATCAAGCTTTCCCGCGGAAGAATTCCCCCATTTCTAACTTTCACACACACACACACACAAATTCAAATCGGGAATAGGGTATACTAACTTCAAAAGATTAGCTTATGGTTTTTATATAATTATATAGATGTTGAACTTCTCATGGAGTGTTATAAAAGTCTGACCAAGCGAATGATACATGAATAATTTGAAGTTATTAACACTTTATAGGCTGTTATTCTCCCATATATAGCATCTACAAGAGAAACAAGATTTCAGCTTCTACGTTAGCGACAAAACAAAAAGCGAATGGTAAACGGGTAATTAACCCTCGTACCCAAATTGACCCAATTTTATTTTCAACGTGGAAAACGTTTCTTTTACATTCCAAATGAGGTATTTTGTATTGTGTGTGTCTTTTGATGTTATAAAGTATTTTTGAAATGTATGAATATAAAAATAAATATAAACAATTATATACAGTTTCAAAATTTTAGATATCAAATAACATATATGTAATTAATACACAATATATATCGACCCACGAACACTAATTATGGCCCGAATGCCGCAAGAGAAAAATTGCAGAATATTTTCCTCCAATGTATGGTCATGTGATCATAAAGAAGACAAAGAAAACATTGGGCAGAATAATGATAGAACGAAGAGAGGAACTCAAACAAAGACATAAACCCACTTTTAAGTTTACTTTCAAAAGCTTTGAACGAGCTTTTTCTTTGGACGGTCGAGAATGAAAGCGAGAGAGGGTCACGTAGAATTACACAATCTTTCTCTATCTATCTCTCTCTGGTTTGTCATTTGTGTATGGTCGGCTGCTAGTCAAAGACAAGCAGATGCCATACTCATGCTCATTTTATTTGTATTTAGATATTTTAAGTTTAATTAATGATAATTTCAAAATAGAAATAAAAAATATATAAATAAGTGAAAATTATCATTAATTTAAATTTAAAATGAACGGTAATTTCTCTATGATACGGACATGAATGTCCTCTGCTTTTAGGACAAGTTATCTCATCCTGCAACTTTGAATGACGAATATATCATAAACCTTGTCGACGTAACACTGACGAACAGCTTACATGCAAAAGAAAGGGAGAGGCTTTGTTACCTGCGGAATCGGTAGCCCAAAACTGGGGAACCTTCGAATAGAGCAAGCCTTGGTGACTCATGGTGACTTAATGTCAACTATATGCTTCAAAGATGTGGTTAAACATGTGCAAGTTTGACCAAGATATATCACACGTAACTGGCTCTGCAAGCATGATTCAAACCAAGCTGTGAGTAATCGTGCGTTAATTTATGTTGTTGGTTCACGGCCAGCTAATGATTGAGTGATTTCGTGGATATATATGATGTTAAAACAGTATATGAGTTTAATTTTTATGTTTTTATATTAATAATTAATTATAAAGAATATATGTTATTTAAACAAAATAAGAGAAATATACTTTACTCCTATATTTGATATCTTAATTTAAATTTTATTAGGATTAAATTACTTAAAATTTATCAATTTTATCAACGTAATTAACTTTAAACCTTCTTTCCTAAATATAAATAAAATATAAAAAATGCTGATAAAAGTCTTTATAACGTTAATATGAAAAAACAGATGTATTTAATGAAAACAATATTTATTGTATTAAAATAAAATTATCTAATACTTAAATTTTTAAATGAATTATAAATTTATTTAGTCTAATGTAAAGAAATGTCAATTTTACCCATTAACCGTTTCATTCAAAATATATTATTTTATTACATTAGAACAAACATAAACTTACTGTTAAACTTATCTGTTTATTTTTATTTTTGGTAAAATTATTTTTAATATAATTATTTTTAAACTATTAAATATAATTGAGATGTAGGTGCAAGTTAATTTTAAAATTAAAACAAATTTTAAATAAAAATATTAAATTCATTTTATGAAATTAATTTTAATTGCATCAAATCAACGTGGCATTTAGCCATCTGGCCAAATAAATTAAAGGCACGTCTTACCTATACATATGCACTTTTTCTTGACTTGGAACTTTAGTGTATGTGGTTGAAAGTCTGAAACGTTTCACAGCCAATTCTGGGTCATTCAGAGCCTTTGGTTTTGAAAGAGTTTAAATTAATTTAAACAATACACTTTTATTAATATATATATATATATATATATATATATATTAATAATTAAAAATGAGAATTAGTAACTTTAAAAGAAACAAGAATTTGCTAAACAGAAACTAGAATCTCAAATAAATTGATATTTTGATTGTATTGAGTAGGGGTAATTTATATTCTCTCGCATCCATGTTGTGTTGCATTCATTCTTGAGGTGCGTTAAACCAAAAATGAACTCCCAATTAATGTGAATTTCGTTGCATTCTTTGTTATATGTACTTTCGTCTTAAAGCTTAAGAACCATATTTTCAGTGTGATAAATATATAAATTTTTGGATCAAATTTAACAAAAATATAAATCTAATCTACCCTTACGTAATTTGAATTGGATTGAATATTTTTTAAAATTTTAGTTAAAATTAATTATTTCATTATCTCTTCTGCACAACTTTAATTTAAGATATATATTTTATATAAAAATATACTAACTTTGAATAAATAAACTTAAAAACACAGTAATATATATATATATATATATACAAATAATGATGATATATACTTTTAAAATAAAAGTTATAAAAAATAATTAAATTTTAAAATTTTATAAATATATAAATATAAGTGAAAAATTAATTTTATGAAAGAATATACATAAAAATAGATGAATTTGATCTGGATTGGATTTAATAATTTGAAAAGTAGATTAAAAACCTAATATTGAATTCGATTAAAAAATAATTTTTATCTTTAAATTTTAAGATTTATGTTAGATTAGATTGATTTGCAAACATTAACATCTCTACCTATGACGGCGTACTTTTATTCGATCATCTGATTCAAATTGGATAAGACTTTCCCATTCACCGAGCCAACCAATCACCCAAACCGTGGCCATACCTGTATAATTGAGCCCACGTGTCCTCACTGCTGACGCAATTAATATTGTCTACCCATTTAATTCCAACCCTCAAGAAATAAAAAAGGAAAAAAGAAAAATAGCACAAGCAGCATGCCATGATTTTCAATTAAAAAAGCAATCTGGCTTGTGAGGTGGGTCCTACAAACTGCAGTGTAACCTGTCGTGCATGGCCACGTATCCAACCAAGTTTTTTGGTCAATGCCCCCCATGCAAAATCATATACTATATTACTTTATTCGTTGTCATTACGTGAAAAGACAGTTACCTATTACAGGTGTTCTGGACAAGTGTCCACCTCACGCGCTCCGGCGTTTATCTCCGGCCACCTCGCCGGCATCGTGGACTCATTGTCGGAATCTCTGAAACCACAAATCTTGCCTCCTTGCTCACTCGTCATAGTTTCTATATTATTTACTCCCTCTCTCTTTGTCTCCTACTACACTTCCTCTCTCTTTTCTTTTTTTCTATTTTAATTTGACAAAGGTCTCTCTAATCAAGATAGTCCAAATCCAACCAAAATATTGCAATCACAATAAAATATTAAATAAAAAATAGCTATTATATCACATCATATATAATATTACATATTTTTATATATAGTTTTTTGGTACATATACATCTCACAATAAATGCATTCAAAAAATCGATGAGACCAATAAAAATTATTTCCAAAAGTTACTAAAAATGTTTGTGGAATAAAATTTATATATATAATTGATTGATTAATTTGGCGTTTTAATTTTATATATGTTGATTTTTGGTCGGACATGATCTGATAGTTGTGCTTGCCTTGAGGTGATTTACGTAATCGGTTTTGCTTCAGTGCTTTTTGTTTAAGTAATCCGATTAATATATGTATAATAGATTGCTAATATTAGGAAGAAAACAGACATGCACAGTAACATAGCAATAATAGAAACTTTAAGGAATAAATAAATGGAAAAAGATAAGGACCTTGCTACTTCCTAACACAACCAAAGCCTCAATGAAGCAAGTCAAACTATGAATACTAATAAAATTTTAGAAAATTTTACATTTATCAGCACCATTGATCCATAGCTATCTAGCGAGCTACCTAGTAGAAAACTAGCCCAGATAAATCAATACGAGGAATTAATCAACCTTTTGGTTGATTCAATTTTGTTCGATACGTTTCGCAGTAGAATACAAATACATTATATGAATTCGTTCACACCTAACATATCTGGGATTTCAAATCTCAATATGTTGCTAGTGACATAGCTTTCTGTCTCGTCCTCAGTGGTGGTGCTCCCATTGATATACGTTGAGTTCGAATTCAACGGTGTGGGGCTTGAAGAAGGCGTTGAGAGAACCGAAGCGAAGCTGAAGTTGTGGTTGCTGTTATTGGAATGGAAAGTGGAGGTTTCGGAAATTGGAGGGTCCATAAGATTTGCATAATCATAATCCGAACTATGGTAATTATAGCTTGGCAATTGAGGGACACTAACATAATCATCTGTTATAGTGCTTGAAGCAATTAATCCATTGCAATGCCAATCACTTAGCTGAGAATGTTGTTGGAAGCCAAAGGTAGGGGAAAATGATGGGTACGGGTTCATATTGGATTCAACCAACTCTGCTTGAGTGGAAGGCAATGGAACACAAGGATGATTCAACATGCAAGGTGTTCCAGAAGTTTCTTGAGCCGAGTCCTGACTTTGTACAAATTGTGGAATCTGGGTATTGCAGAGGTGGTTCTGTTGGCCATTTTGGTGAGAGGAGAAGAGTGATGAAGCCAATTTTAGAAGCTCAGGGTTCACCATTGTCTGCGTGCCAAGAAGCCTTTGGATGTTGATATGTGATGAGGCATAGAGAGATGAAGTTAGGATAGGAGAGAGGTCCAAAAGATCAAGGCGTGGACTATGTGTAACAGGATCAATTCCCATCCTTAGGAGCCTTTTTCTAATGTGGGTATTCCAATAATTCTTAATTTCATTGTCTGTTCTTCCCGGCAAGCGAGAAGCAATAGCAGACCACCTACAGAATAGTCCCATAATACCATGTTACAAACCCCTTCAATGAATAATAATAACAATATTTGACTCACGTTTTTTTTTTTTTGTGTGTGTGTGTGTGAGTGACTGCGTGTGTATTTTTTAAATTGAACAGAACAAAAGCAATTTATTAACCAAGAGGCTTACTTGTTGCCTAGAATGCTATGTAGCTGTATGATTGTCTCCTCCTCTTCAAAAGAGAAACGACCTCGTTTTATATCTGGTCGGAGATAGTTTGTCCAGCGGAGGCGACAACTCTTTCCACACCTTTGCAACCCTATTCAATAAAAAAAACAAGCAAAAGACATTGGTTTTAGGTTAAGTATATAAAAGTAGTTTTTATAATGATGTTCACTTTTGGAACAAAAAATGAACATAAATGACATACCAGCATTCTTTGGAAGTATTCTCCAATTGCCATACCCATATTTTTGAATGTAGTCTATAAGTTTCTGGTCTTCCTCTGGTGTCCACGGCCCCTTTTTGAGGCCATTTTTATCACAACAAGGTGCTCTCCCCATGGTAATGCTAGATAGGCTTTGAACTTGTTGAGCTACTTAAGAAAGAGTTTGCGTGAAGGAGATGATAGAAAAGAGGAAGTTTTGGAGACGTGAGAAAATAAAGAAAGAGAGGGAGAGAAAATAGGGTTATATTTTGTATGGGACTCAATGGAACGTACTTGCTTGTTGTATAAATAGCAATTAATGAAATGAAGGGTAAGAAACAGGGAAGTCAAATAGATTTGGTACCGTCCTCTGTTATCTCTCTTGCTACGTGTCTACACTTCGTATCATCTAATGAATTTTCTTTACCGTTTGTGTCTGTATTCTTTTCTATTTTGTATTAGAAATTAAACGTGGAGTGAGTTAATTAATATTACTGAAAAAAATATCTTTACTTTTCATCACACTTTGAAATTTCATCTTCTGTATTCATATATGTGTGATATTAAATTTTTCATTTACTTTTTAGCATTATTGTAGTCAAGCCATCATTTTCCGCGGAGTGTGACCCCTACTTTATGGATTCATATTAGCTGTAATCGACGTTACAGGGCCACGTAACCCCTTACAACACATGCATTTTTTTCCCAGTACCATGTTATAGAGGAAATGATTTTATTTAATTGAGATTACACTTAATTATAATTAAAAAATAGATTGGAATAAGCTTCTAGTTCTGTAAATATATCAAGTTTTAAAATTTTATTTTTATCCTTTATTATGAACTTATTTGTTAAACTGTTATTGACTTTACTAACAAATATTCAGTCGCCTTCTTCTGTATGGATTAACCCATCATATATGTAATTAACTTATTTGCCTTGTTTACGTGATTAGCATATTTTGATCTATGCAACAAAACAATATGATGTAAAATAATCCCATTCTGTTTTTCTAGCTCACGTCACACGGCCTGTGTCTAGTATTAGCATGCGTTATTACGTATTAGGCCCTACGTGGTATATAATGGTTCAGTTCGGATACTTTTTCAGAAAAATATTTATAGAAAAATTAATATAAAAACAAATAATTTTTCTTCATAAGTTAAATGCAACTTGTATTTTTTTTAATTTTCAAAGATTTAAATTAGAACTTTTAAAAAGTAATAAATGAATTAATATATTTCATTACATGTTTAGTAGTGTGAAATGTTGCAGAATTAAATGATCCAGTTCACTTTTTTATTTTATTTTATTTTATGATTTTGGAACAGGCTTGATGAGATCTGATAGGATTATTTATTTAAGTTAGATGAAAATACAAAATTTCAATGTACGTCAAAATCAGCCCTAATTAACCATCTCCTTCGCAGTGCGCCAGTGCCAGCCTCCAGGCCCAAAGCCTCCGTAAGCTACTCACAGGCGATGTTGGTGGGTAACATATATGCACCTAATGGAAAGTGTTTGGTATTTAGATTCACGTTAGAAAACTCTCAAATATAAATTGAACGTAAAAATGATAATTAGATAAATTATGTTAAAAACACAATACTAACATTAGCATAAAACGACCTTTGCAAAATCACTCCGTAAAATGCATTCCTCAAGCTTAATCATCAAGTTCATTGCGTTACCACCTTGAGAATTCATACATATATATAAACAAGTTGAAGTGATATGCGGGAGAATATGTATACCGAATAAAGTACTACTCGGTAATTACAACGTAAAAATAAATTTGAATATCTATTCGGCTCAGCTTAATGGCAAACATATCTCCAATCATAATAGAAATAATTAAAAGGACTAAAATAAATAATTATTAAAAGAATATTTAATTACTTAAATAATCAGAAGGTTAAAAATAAGGCTGAGTCATAAAATTTATTAGCTTAATATCTTATTTAAAAAAAAAAGTAAGAGATAGATAAAAAATAAGAAATAGATAAATACATTGAATTGTGCTAGCTTTTTGATGTTATTGTAACTATATATGCGGAATTAAAAGGGAAGAATGTCGTGAGATAAGAGAAGGACAGCACCTCCCGCGGTAGGTTGACACGATCTCATTTTTTTAAGTTTATTTTAATATGTTTTAAAATTATTTTATATATAATAATATTTTTGTTAAAGAAATTTTTTAAATGTTATATGGGAATTATATGATTCCGTATAAAATATTGGATAAGATAAAAATTTGTGCTGCATGATTCATGCTAAGTGTTTGCTGCTTATCTTTAAAATTGAGAAGATTTTAGTGCTCGATATATGAAAATTAATAACAATTTAACATGTGTATAACTTCTCAATCATATTTTTGATGGGTTAAGGCCACCTTTTTGAAATAACTATGTCGATGATTGGAATATCATTAATGACTCGATCCAGATATTAAAAATGAATTTAAAGCTAAAAATATGATTCTTAAGATATTACAGTGTATTTAATTTTATATTACAATCTCTTATCAATTTAATGTGACTGGATCTAGAAATCAAAGTTTTTTAATAGTTTATAGAACTTTCTAAAATCTTAAAAACTACTGCTCTATATTAAGGTATGACAGTTGTTTGCATGATTTTACTTTTATTTACTAATTATAAAATTTTATAGAATAAAGGATAATTTATTAAATAAATATATTATGAATTATCAAGCACGATTAATAAAATGTTATTCCATCTTAATCTTTGATCTCCAATTCAAGTCCGTTAATTGTTAAATACTTTTAAACCTTTTTTTTTTCAAAAATGGCTAAAACCTTTCTTAATTTGAAAGTATCATAACATTTTGCCTTATCAAGCGAATTATATTACTGAGTTTCGTAATAGAAAAAGCCTTAGCGTTTAGTAATTGACTTCTCCTTTGTAACGGTAAATTGAAGTAAAAGTAATCTTTTAACAAACAAGAAAACCTTAGACTTTTACGAAGGCGTTAAGTTTTTAAAATTCAAAAGCATCCTTCAATTAACAAGAGGGAAACTTTCTCTTTTTAAACTAAAAATTATCGACCAAAAGTTGGTTTCTTCTAACAATTTTTATTCGTATATCTAAAAAATGCACTAAATTAATATATTTTTGTAATATTTTAAATCCCAACAAGTCACGTAAAATGGCTTTTGGTAAAGTGAGAAGTGTGAGCCTTTAAGGTTTGTATAATTCATTCAGCGTTTTTGAACCGAGTTTTTACAAAAATTAAAAATTATATATCATGTATATCGTACAAATATTTATGAATACATAAAATATAAAAAAAAAGTGACATCGATCGTAAATAACATAAATTAAAATATAAGTGTTTTGAATTTTTATTCAAAAATATTAAATTTTGGGTTAATTATTAAAATATATTTATTCAGTATATTCAATCAATATTTTTTAATAATTTAAATATTTAATTAAATACATTTAATTTGTTCATATACATTGTATGTCCATTCGCATACAGTAAGTTATTTTATATCAACTGTATTACCATCAATTTTTAAGATTTATGTTAAGTATTTAAAATATATATTTATTACACTTTTATATTTAGTGGACTTTAAAGAGTTAAACTAAAAAGGTTTGAGTTTAATTTAAACTTGCAAATATAATAACAAACGCAGATAAAATGTTTTTGAACTTTTTTGAATTTAAAACACATTAAACTTAATCTAATCAAATTAAAAACTTGAATTTAATTTAAATATAAAATATAAATTTCGAATCTTATATTTTATTAAACGAATTTAAATTTATTAAATAAATTTAAATTACCTGATTAAACAAATTTAAGTGACGAGTTATTTGAGTCAGCAAAACTCGGAAACACTCTTATAAAAAATAAAGTGACATATTTATATACATTAATTTTTTTATATCATTATTTATTATAAAATTTATATTATTAAGACACTCATTTATTCTTATTTATGTGAGTGAATATATTTATTTATTTAATTTATTAATTATCAATTTTACTATATTTACTGACAAATTTTTTAGAACAATTTATAAATTTATGAGATATAATTTATTTGTATCAAGTTTAATATTTTTAATTTTTTTATAAAAAGAATTAAAAGGGATATTTTAGTGTGTCTTGAATGTGTGCATCTAACTAATGCAAAATAGGTTGAGGATGAGGATGAGCATTTAATACACCATGGCAATAATAGAGTTCGGTGAGTGACTTGCCAAAGTATATACACTTTAATTATGCACGATGAAGGATAAGGTTTATTTATGTAAACGATCCTTTAAAATATTGATAAAAAAATAATATTAAAATTATGCTAAAAGTATAACTAAAACCTTTAGCATTTGTTTTATTTAAAATGCAAGTTTTGTCACCATTAATTTTATAAAAAAATATATTGAGATAAAACTAAATAATTTTAATTTTTAAATATAATAAATATTTTTTGATAAATTTTTTAATTTTATATATTAAATACCAAAATTAAATTTTGAATAATTTTTAAATATTATGAATATTTTTTTCTTGTATATTTTATATACCACTTATTAAACTTTAGCAAGAAGTGTAGTAATTTATTTTCTTGCATATTTAAATATTATTTTAATTTATCAAACATATTTTACTGGTGATAAAATATAAAAGTATAGTTATTTAAAACATAGATTTTTCAAACAAAACATTTTAAAGAAGTTAAAGATCACTTAAACTAAAACATAATAATTGAGATGTATAAATATCTCATTATATTTTGTTGTAGGAAATAAATGAATGTTCGATTAAGCAAAAATACATGTATTAGGCAACATGTAAAGAGTTTGAACTACTGCATGTTATTATATATATATTCAAAAGTATATAGTAATTTTGTAGTTGAATGTTTATGTTTCTGTCAAAGAAACACTAGTCTTTAAGTCCTTGCGTCTTTACTCCGAAATAATGACGTATCTCTAGTAGTCGCTGATGTGGAGAAGATACCTGCAAAAGACACTCTGATGCTGAAATCAAGATTTGGTTCTGAGTAATAAATGGTATTTAATAATGAAAAGTTAATCATTTACTTGTACTTTTACTTTTCTTATGTAGGCATTGTAATGGGCTAATGAGCCTGTTACGCTAGTTTTGATTTTAGCCTTTTATTTAAAATAAATAATATCTTGATTATTACTCTAAATTAGGTTTAATTACCTCTTAATCCTGACGAAGGGTATCCGGTCAAATTGATCAAATAGATACTCAATTTCCTTTTCTTAGAAGTAAAACT